TGTTCATAGAAAACCCTAAAGACTTCACCAGGAAGCTACTAGGTTTGATAAATGAATTCAGCAAAGTAGCAGGGTACAAAATCAACATCCAGAAAATGATGGCATTTTTATACACCAATAATGAACTCTTAGTAAGAGAAACAAAAAAAACCCAAAAATCATTTACCATTGCAACAACAAAAAAATAAGATTCCTAGGAATAAACATAACCAAGGAGGTAATAGTCCTGTACTCATAAAACTATAGAACATTGAAAAAAAATAGAGGAAGATACAAACAAGTGGAAGGGTAAACCATGTTCATGGATTGAAAGATTTAACATCATTAAAATGCTACCCGAAGCAATCTATAGGTTCAGCACATTAAATTACCTATTACAATACCAATTTGGTACATTACAGAACTAGAACAAATACTCCAACAATTTATATGGAACCAAAAGGGACCTTGAATAGCTGCAGCAATCTTGAGAATGAACAAAGTTGGATGGATCACAGTATCAGATATCAAACTATACTACAAAGCCATTGTGATAAAAACAGCCTGGTACTGGCACAAGAACAGGCATACAGACCAATGGAACAGAACAGAGACCCCAGAAATTGACCCACACAATTATAGTCAATATTTGACAAAGTAGGCAAGAACTTACAATGGAGTAAAGACAGCCTCTTCAACAAATAGTGTTGGGAAAACTGGACAGGTACATGCAAAAAAATGAAACTAGGCCACCAACTTACACCATACACAAGAATAAACTATGTGAATCAAAAACTTAAATATAAGTTGTGAAACCATAAAAATCCTAGAAGAAAACTTAGGCACTAAAATGTCAGATATCTCAAGTAGCAGCATTTTCACTGATGCATCTCCTAGGGCAAGAGAAACAAAGGAAAAAATAAACAAATGGGAATATATCAAAATAAGAAGCTGCTGCATGGCAATATAAACCACCATCAAAATGAAAAGGGACCCCACTGTATGGGAGAACATATTTGCCCATGATACATCTGATAAGGGGTTAATCTCTAAAATATGTAAAGTACTCATACAACTTAACAAAAAGAAGACAAACAATCCAATTAAAAATTGGGCCGAGTGCTTGAATAGACACCTCTCCAAAGAGGACATACAGATGGTCAAAAGACATATGAAAAAATGCTCAAAGTCACTAATCATCAGAGAAATGCAATTTAAAATCACAATGAGAGATCACCTCACACGTGTGAGAATGGGTATTGTCAATCAACAAACGATAAGTACTAGGGAGGTTGTGGAGAAAAGAGAACACTAGTTCACTGCTAGTAGGAATGCCACTGATAGAGCCACTATGGAAAACAATATGGAGTTTCCTCAAAAAATTAAAATTGGCACTGTCATTTGACCAGCAATCCCACCTCTGTGAATGTATCCTAAAAATCCCAAAACACCAGTCAGAAGGAATCTAGACATCCCTTTGTTCATAGCAATATTATTTACAATAGCGAAGATTTGGAAAGTGACCTAGTGCCCAAATGGGCACTTGGATAAAAAAGCTGTGGTACATTTACACAATGAAATACTATGCTGTAAAAAAAGAAGGAACGCTTACCCCTTTTTGACAGCAGGGATGTACCTGGAGACTATTATGCTAAGTGAAATCAGCCAATCAGAGAAAGAAAAATACCACGATCTCACTTGTGGAATCTATTGAAAGAAATGAATTTACAAAGTAAGACCCGAGGCATGGAGGCACGGGACAGGCTGACCTATCTTGCTTGGGGTTGGTGTGGGGCAGGTTGGGGAACCAGAAGAGATAAACCAAAGAACCAAAGAACTTATGTGCATAGCCTGCGGACACTGACAATAGTGTGATGAAGCCCCGGGTGGGTAGGGGCTGGGCTCAGGGGGATAAAGGAGGGTAAAAGGGGGACATCTGTAATACTTTTAACAGTAAAAAATACATCTATTATAAAAGTAAAAAGGATAAAAATAAAGTTGTGATGTAGGAATACACAAGAATAATGACAACAGGAATTCTGGGGGGGAAAGTGTAGAAAAGAGAAAGAACCGGGAAGGAAAACCAGATAGCATAAAAGATAAACTTTTCCTTTTTCAAAATGCTATTAATTGCTAACCCCAACATCCGAAAAAGGGTAGAGAGCACTACTATTTCCTATTATTTTCTTCTGTCACTTTATTTCTCTGTTCTTTGATTTCAGAATTTAGGCTAGGTATATGAAAGTTTCAATAATCTTTTATTAAATGATTTGGGAACAAAGCTAACCTAGCATTAGAATTCAGAGTGCAAAATCTCAGCCAAATAAGTGAAAAAAAACTTCAGGTAACTGATTACAAATAAACTCTGCAAATATATGTTCTTAAGAACTGCCATTATGGGCAGCAAAAAGGTGAATAATTATGGATTATATATATTATAATGTAAATTGTATATAGTTGACTAGAAATGTTCCCAGAGCCAAAATGTATAGTTTTTTTAATTATTAATTTTCTTTAACTTTCAATTTTGGTGGTAAGGTAATCAAAATATGTGCTTCAGAGTAAAATAATATTTATTACTATTTAATAGTAAATATTTTACTGAATTTTGTAATATTCAAAGATCAATTTTGGGGTAAAAACTACCTGAATTTGAAGTCTTTAACTGTGTGTGACTACTCCTGCTTATTTATGGAACTGTCTGTGTTTGGTGAGGATTTTAGCTTCTCTGTATGCTGGTTCAATTTCTATAAAATGTTGATGACAATACCAACCTCCCTAGTTTTGGTGCAGGATTAAATTATTTATATGAAATATATGGCTAATAATAGGCACTCAGGAAATGTCAGTTTCCTCCTTGCCGTACAGATTTTTACTACATATTGAGAATGACATCCTATGGAATTATTCTCTCAGTTTATTTTTATACTAGTATATGGACATGATTGTTTAAAATTTTGGTTAATATACAGTGAGATTTTTTCTGTAAGTTCAGGACTAAGCATAATATAGTTTGCTTAATAAAAGTTAGTTATTATGAAGAATCAATAGACAATTGATTCTATGTTTGCTAGGAACTATGCAGGTAATGTGATGCTAACAATACAGATGACAAAATTTCATTCTCAAGTTAACTTTAATGAAATAATTCATATATGTAGTCCAAACCTATGGTTGAATGAACATCAGAAAACATTGAAGTAGATTCAAACTTTCAAAGAGCTTGATTCTTAATTTTATAGTGGTCAGGAAAGATGGAGAAAGTAGAAGAAAAGTTTGAAGAGTTATTGATATTGGCATAGAAATTTACATAAAAGTTTAGAGGGTTTTCTCCATGCCATCATTTCAGTTTTATTTCACCTTGGCAGAGGCATCATACACATATATAGCCATTTTTCTCAATTTGGGAGAATTTGCATAAATACTACCTCCAAACTAAAATTAAAGATATATTTAATTTGTAATGCTTAATTTTGTTGTAGGAACATTTAACAGGAGTCCTCTTAACAAATTTTTAAGTATACAATATAGTATTGTTAAGTATAGGCACTATGTTGTACAGAAGACCTCTTCAATTTATTCATCTTGTGTGACAAACTATATACCCATTGAACAATTCCCCATGTTCCCCATCTCCTAACCCTTGGCAATCACCATTCTACTCTGCATCCGTGAGTTTAACTATTTTAGACACTTCATATAGGTGAGATTATGCTGGCTTATTTCACTTAGTATAATGTCAGTGAGGTTCATCATGTTGTTGCATATGTCAGATTTCCTTTTTTCAGACTGGATAATATTCCATTGCATGTATATACCACATTTTCTCTCCCCCCCTTTTTAAAAATATATCTTTATTGATTTCAGAGAGAGGAAAGGACAGGGGGAGAGAGAGAAACATCGATGAGAGAGTCATTGACCAGCTGCCTCCTGCACGCCCCCGACTGGGGATTGGGCCCGCAACCCAGACATGTGCTCTGACCGGGAATCGAACCCCGATCGCCTGGATCCTAGGTTGAGGCTCAACCGCTGAGCCACACCCGGACGGGCATACCACATTTTCTTTATCCATTCATCTGTCAGTGAATATTTACACTGCTGCTGCAATGAATATGGGAATGCAGATATCTCTTTGAGATCCTGGTTTCAAATCAAAACCACAATGTGATATCACCTCAGACCTGTTAGAATGTCTTAGAATCTGGAATGAATGTGTGTGTGTGTGTGTGTGTGTGTGTATAAATATATGCATGTATGTATCAAACAAAACAGACTTTAAAAACCAAAGCTATAATAAAAGACAAATAAGGACATAATGATAAAGGGGACCGATTCAACAAGAGGATATAACCCTTGTAAACATTTATGCACCCAATATAGGGGAACCTAAATACATAAAGCAAACTGATGGACATAAAGTGAGAAATGGACAGTAATTTAGTCATAGTAGGGGATTTTAATATATATACCCAGAAGTGAGATTTTTGGATCATATAGGTTGCTGTATTTTTAAGTTTTCGAGGGGCCTCTCTGCTATTTTCTGTAGCAGCAGTACCCATTTACATTCCCATCAATAGTGTACCAGGGTTTCAATTTCTTCACAGCCTTGTCAGCACTTACTATTTAAAAAAAAAAAATATTAGCCATTCTGATATGTGTGAGGTGATATCTCACTGTGGTTTGGATTTGCATTTCCCTGATGTTTAGTGATTTGGTGCACCTTTTTATATACATATTGACTATTTATATGTCTTCTTTGGAAAAATGTCTATTCAAGCCCTTTGTCCATTTTCTAATCGGTTGTTTTTCTATTGAGTTGCACTTAATTTTGTTTTAATAAGGACATGTGTTCCAATGAATTAAATCACATGATTTCCTCAAGAATGATTTTGTCCTCTAAACTTTCATTATGAACATGTATCATTTTTTATGAAATTTTACATTTTGAAATTAATTTATATAATATAGAATTGTTTTTTTAAGAGTATACTGCCAACAACATTATATGGATTCATCTTTAGGCAGTCCAGTGGTGTGAAGACTTTTAGCAGTTGCAGTTTGAGTGACTTTAACGATTTCATCTTAAACATGGGTGCCAAATGTCTTCAGAATAAGCCCCAAATGAAAGCGGCTTCAACAGCAATCTGTGGCAACGGCAGAGTGGAGAGCCCTGAAATCTGTGACTGTGGTACTGAGGAAGTAAGTCTGATAACTAGGAAAATTGATTAATAAATTTATTTTAATGTCTTTGTTATAAATGTTATATATCTCAAATATGACTTAGTATTATGCGGAACATGGCAGTAAAGAAGTCAAGGTTGAAATGCATACAGAATATACTGACTAGGGTTTTTTTAAAAAATGTATCTTCATTGTTGAAAGTTTACAGATATTCCCCTTTCCCCTGCCATCGACCTCCTCCACCCTCCTCCCGCTTCCTCCCCTAGCTTACACCATACTATTCTATTGTCTTTGCCTGTGGGTTATGCATATATGCATATAAGTTCTTTGGTTTATCTCTTCCTGGTCCCCTTCTTTCCCTCTGCTATACTGTCTAGGTTTTATACATTGAAGAGTTTTGAACAACTATAAAATGTACTCAAAAAAATTAATGCTGATGGGAAAAAAAAGAGTCTAGAATGAGGTTTTAGGTTCCAGACTAACTACATAAGATCTTTCCAAACCTGTGCTTTGGACATTTTACAAATGTCTTATTGAATATTAATATGACAGTGGACTATCAGGTATCCCTTAGGGTCTTACTGCACAATCAACTAGTAATATGGTAAGGGAGGACTGTGTTAATATTATAGTCTGAACATTGGGTGATTTTGATAAGGAAATCTTGAAAATATGAATGCAAAATGTTGAGGATATAATGATTCTGGACAAGGATTTGCAGCATTAGAACAGATGCCATACATTTCTATGATTACAAACTAAATAGATGGAAATAATATTAGGGTTTGATATGTATATGGGTTTGAATGTACTTGTGTGCATATCACATTGTTATAATTACTATGCCTTTTTTTGGTATGATGTTTAACCATTTGCTAGTACAAGTCTTCTCTCTTTGCTCTTTATCTATTTTCAAATCACTTTTTCTGGGGCACAATCTACATACAATAAAATGTACTCCTTTTAAGTATACAGATTGATTAGTTTTGACGAATACATATAAGCATTGGTGTAATTAAGATACAGATTTTTTTCATTATACCCAAAACTTTACTCATGCCCTCTTTCAGTCATTTCCACCTCTTCTCATCTTCAGGCACCTTCTGATTATGTCAGTTTTGCCTGATCAAGAAATCATATGAGCCCTGGTTGGTGTAGCTCAGTAGTTAGAATGTTGGCTCCCACACCAAAGGGTCTTGGGTTTGACTCCCGGTCAAGGGCATGTACCTTGGTTGTAGGCTTAATCCTTGGCCCTGGTCAGGGCTAATGTGGGAACAACCAATGCTTGTCTCTCTCTCACACCGATGCCCCAGCCTCCCTTTTTAATTCCTATTTCTAAAAAAAAAAAAAAAAAAAAAATCAATGGAGACCTAAAAGAACAGCCTCAGAATTTCCAAGTTAGTGGTGGATTGAGCGGAAGCTACGGTGGCACTCTTCCAGGACCAGAGTTGTCAGTTAACCATAGCTGGCTCTAATAGCCTTTGCTGCCTGCACTAGCCACCATCATTAGAGTGCTGAAGAGATATCATGTGCCCCAGCACCCAGTGAAACCAACATGTCCCTAAACTCGGTGCTGTGCACCACTAGACATAGGTCAAAGCAAACTTCAGAGTGCCCCACCCACAGCTGAAGGCCTTCTCTTACCAAAATCAGTCCATAAAGTCTGGAGGAGGTGTCTGCTTCTTCAAATATGCAGACACCTACATAAGGCCACAGGGATCAAGAAAAAGCAGGGAAAAATGACACTACCAAAAGAACATAGTAAATGGCTTCATTAAATGGAGGTCTAGAAGTTGTCTGAGAAGTAATTCAAATTAATTGCCCTAAAGATGCTCAGAGAGCTACAAGGTAACATAAAAACACAAATAAACAATTTAATGACATCAGGAAAACAACACAAGAACAAAATAAGAGGTTCAACAAATAAATAGAAAACATTTTAAAAAGGCCAAACAGGAATTCTGGAGCTGAAGAATACAGAACATAACTATAGAGAGCTTTAACAGTAGAACTGACTGAAGAGAATAAAGAGTCAGTGAGCTAAAAGACACATCACTTGAAATGATCTAATCAGGGGAGCAAATGAAAAAATAATGAAAAGGGATGAAGAAAGACTATGGGACTTAGGGACACCATCAACAGAAATAACATGTGAATCACTGGAGTTCCAGAGGGACAAGAGAGGAAGAAGGGGCTAGAAAAATCATTTTAAAAGATAATGGCTGAGAATATTTCAAACCTGGTCAGAGATCTGTCCAACCCAATTCATGAAACTGCTAGGTTATCCCAAGTTTTCAATATAAATTGATCTTTGCCATGAACTGTCTACAATGCAGAGATAATTTTATAGCAGCAAGAAAAAAATTTCTCTTAAAAAAGGGAACCCCTGTAATGCTATCAACAGATTTCTCAATAGAGACCTTGCAGTCCAGGAAACAATGGGATGGTATATTCAAAGTTCTGAAAAAAAACCCTGCCACCCAGGAATAATTTAACCAGTAAACTTGTCCTTCAGAAACTAAGGTGAGGTAAAGACTTTCCTTAATAAACAAAAGCTAAGAGAACTGATCACCATAAAAACCTGTTTTACCTTACAAGAAATGCTAAAAGGAGTTCATCAGCCTGAATTGAAAGAAGCTAATCAGTAATAATATATGCAAAATGCTAATAAAGGCAAGGCTATACTTAGATTCATAAAACTCTAAAACTCTAATATGATGGTGTGTTAGCTATTTAACTCTAGGATAATGGTTAAAGGTCAAAAGTATTAAAAAGAGCAGTAGCTACATAATTTCTTACTGGGTACATACTATAAAAAGATATAATTTATGATATCAGTAAAAGAGGGGAGCCCTGGCTGGTGTGGCTTAGTTGATTAGAGCATTGTTCTGTACACCAAAAGGTAGTGGGTTTGATTCCTGGTCAGGCACATACCCAGGTTGTGGGTTTGACCCCTGGGCGGGGTGTGTGGGGGGGGGGGAGTCAACCGATCAGTGGTTCTCTCTCACATCAGTGTTTCTCTCCCTTCCTCTCCCTAAAAATAATTTTTTTTTTTTTTTAAAAAGAGAAAAAGGGTATAGCTTTTCATGGAATCAGAGAGTTAAATTATTATCACTGAAATACATTGTTACTCAGATAAGATGTTTAATATAAGTCTCATGTTAACCATAAATAAAAACCTGCAGTAGATTGAAAACTGATAGAAGAGAATCAAAGAATACTGCTATGCAAAATCACATATAAAGAAAGGCAATAAGATAGGGAAAAGGATCAAGAGAACTATAAAACAGGCAGAGAACAATTAACAGGATGGAATTAGTAAGTCCTTCGCTATCCATCATTATAATAATGCAGATGGTTTAACTTCTCCAATCAAAAGACATAGAGTTGCTGAATGGATACAAAGACAAGATCCAACTATATGCTGCCTACAAGAGAATCACTTCACCTATAAGGACACACATAGGTGAATGCAAAGGAATGAAAAAGAGAGCCTATGCCAGTGGAAAACAAGGGAGCAGGGATAGCTATAGTTATATCACACAAAATAAACTTTAAGGCAACAATGGTTACAAGCAAGTAAGAAGGTCATTATATAATGCTAAAATGGTCAACTCCATCAAGACATAATAATCATAAATATATAAGCACCAAAAATCAGAGCACCTAAGTATTTTAAGCAGATACTAATAAAACTGAAAGGAAAATACACAGTACAATAGTAGAGGACTTCAATATTCCACTTTCAACAATGAATAGATATCCAGACAGAAAAATCAACAAGGGATCACTGAACTTGAACCAAACTTTGAAGAAAAAGTTACCTAACAGACATATGCAGAATATTCCATTCAATAGCAACAAAATACACATTCTTCTCAACTGTTCACAGAACATATGTTAGGCCACAAAACAAGGCTTTAGCAAATTTAAAAAGATTAAAATCATACAGAGTGTCTTTTCTAACAACAAAGGTATGAAAATGGAAGTTAACTGAAGGAAAGCTGGAAAACTCAACAGTGTGTGAAAATCAGACAACACACTCCAAAACTACCAATGGGTCAACAAATACATCAAACAGGAAATAAAAAACTTCTAAAATTTGTATGGAACCACCAGAGACCATGAAGAGCCAAAGCAATCCTTAGAAAGAACAAAGCTAAACAAAAACCTGCAGTAGATTAACAAATGATATAGAGAAGAGAATCAAAGAATACTGCTATACATTTCCTGATTGCAACTCAACTACAAAGCTAAAATAATTAAAACAGTATGATACTGACTTAAGAACAGACACATAGACCAATGGAACAGAATTGAGAGCCCAGGAACAAACCTCTGTATGTATGGTCAACTAGTATTTGACAAGAGAGCCAAGAATAAATATTCAATGGAAAATGGAGAGGCTCTTTAATAGTATTGGGAAAAGTGGATTTACAACTAAAATATAGAAAAACCATCCTGAATAATCAACTGAAGACTAGCTGGAGAGCACCCTCATAACCAAGGACCTAAAGTGGAGACCACATGGAGACTGGTAGGAAATGTGGAGGAATGAGGGTGCTGGCCGGGCTCCCACAGACAGCAGCTAAAAATCCGGAGGTATATCTCAGCTGTGGGTGATTCCCACTGAGAACTCTGGGGTCTAAACCCCAAGTTGGGCTTCCCAGCCCAGAGCACCAGAACTGAGATGGGTGCTCACATAACACCTGGCTGTAAAAAGCAGCAAGGTTTCTGTCTGCCAGGGAGAGAGGGCTGGAAATGCAGGAACCCTCTTAAAGGGCCAACACACAAAGTTACGTGGGCTCTGGCAGAGGGAGGCTAGAGTGGACTAGAGTGGTGTGAGAAGATTCTGAGGTTTCAGGCTCTGGAGACAGAGTGCAGAGGGCAGCCATCTGGATTCATGTGCTAAGTCATTCCCTCATACTGCAGAGAACATTTTTCTCAGGCAGACCTTGGTGAGCCAGGCAGCTTTTGCTTAGAGGGGAAGCAATTGCCCCACCCACTGGAAAACAGCTCACACCAACCTGTGGAGTTTATGCTTTACTATGGTCTACAACCTGATGCTCATTAAGAGACTAAGATCAATGAGCCTGCAGGCAGAGGTGGACCTCTCAGTGCTTTCAGTCTTTGCCTGATTTGCTTCTGGACCCCAGACTTGGAAAAGCAGACTTTGATGTGCATCTTGGTCCTGTCCAAATGCACCTAGCTCCAACAGAGGGAACAGAAATCCATGGGTTGTTGATGGCTCCATACAGGGTACTCAAGGTCAGTCACAGTGTCTGACATTCCCCTGCACCAGAGACCCGCCAAAAAGACAGAATCTACCTAATAGAAGATCTACCTAATATATAGAAATAAGCCAAAGTTGGAGACAAAAAATCCAAAATGAAAGAACAAGAGAAGACTCCAGAAAAAGAGCTAAATGAAATGGCGATAACAATATGATACAGAGTTCAGAATAATTATTGTAAGGATGGATGCTGATAAGAGAGAGGGAAACTATGAAGGAAATCAAGAATGACATAGCAGAAATAAGGAATACATTGGAAGGAAAAAACAGCAGATTAGAGGAAGCTAAGGATCGGATCAGCAAGTTAGAAGATGGTAGGAAAAAATCAGTCAGAGATCCAAAAGAGAAATAAATGAAAAACACAAGGACAGTCCAAGGGAGCTGTGGGACAACATAAAATGTAACAATATTCACATCATAGGAGTGCCAGAAGATGTACAAAGTAAGCAAGGGTTAGAGAACCTGTTTGAAGACATAATGTCAGAAAACTTCCCTAACCTGATGAAGGAAAAAGTCACATAAATTCAGGAGGCACAGATAGTCCTAAGCAAGAAGAACCCAAAGAGGCCCACACCCAGGCACATCATAATTAAATGCCAAAAATGTAAGACAGAGAATCTTAAAGGAAGCTAGAGAAAAGCAATCTGTTACCTACAAAGGAGCTCCCATAAGGCTGTCAACTGATTTCTCATCAGAAACTGCACGCCAGAAGGGAATGGCATGAAGTATTTAAGGTAATGCAAAACAGATTTCTGACACCAAGACTACTCTGTCCAGCAAGGCTATCATTCAAAATAGATGATGAAATAAGTAGCTTCCCAGAGAAAAAAAGGCTAAAGGAGTTTATCACCATCAAACTAGCATTTCAAGAAATATTAAAGGGACTGCTGTATAAGAAGTAGAAAAAGCGAGAAAGAGAAACATAGGCATAAAGAATTAAAATGGCAATGTATAAGTACCTATCAATAATAACCTAAATTGTAAATGGATTAAATGCTCAATCTAAAGACACAGGGTTGCTGACTGGATAAGAAAACATGACCCAAATATGTGCTGTCTTTAAGAGACCCACCTTAGAACAAAGGACTCACACAGGATGAGAGTGAAGGGATAGAAAAATTTTCCAAGCAAATGGAAATGACAAAAAAAGCTGAGGTAGCAATACTCATCCGACAAAATATACTTCAAAATGATGACCAGAGTGAGAGACAAGAAAGGTTACTACATAATACTAAAGGGACCTATCCAACAAGAACATATAACCCTGATAAACATACGCACCCAATATAGGAGCGCCTAACTTTTTAAAAAAACTTCTGGAAGACTTAAGGGAGATATTGACAGATACACAGTCATAGTAGGGGACTTTAACTGCCCACTGGCCTCACTGGATAGGTCTTTCAGACAAAAAAATCAGCAGGGAAACAGTGACCCAAGTGACATACTAAATCAAATGGCTTTATTTGAATTTATAGAACATTCCACCCCAAAGCTGCAGAATATACATTCTTCTCAAGTACACATACAACATTCTCAAAGATAGAACACATGATAGGACACAAAACAAGTCTCTACAAGTTCAAGAAGATTGAAATCATATCAAGCATCCTCTAGGACCCCAATGGCATGAAATTAGAAACCAACTACAGTGAAAACACTCAAAAACATTCAAACACATGGAGGCTAAATAGCATGTCATTAATCAATGAATGGTTACCAAAGAGATCAAGTAGGAAATAAAAAACTTCCTGGAAGCAAATGAACACACAACCCAAAATCCATGGGACACAATGAAAGCAGTTCTGAGAGGGAGGTTCATAGCACTGCAGGCCTACTTGAAAACACACACACGCACACACACACAAAAGAAATTCTAGTAAACTCTAACCCTACAACTTAAAGACAGAAGGAGAACAACAAGAAAAGCCCAGAGTAAGTAGAAGGAAGGAAATAGTAAAGATCAGCTCAGAAATAAATGACATAGAGACTAAAAAATAAAAAAAAATACGAACGATCAATGATACCAAGAACTGGTTCTTTGAAAAGATACACAAGATTGATGAACCTTTAGTCAGACTCATCAAGAAACAAACAGAGAGGACCTAAATAAAATCAGAACTGAAAGAGGTGAAGTAACAACTCACCCAACAGAAATACAAAGGATTGTAAGAAAATACTGTGAACAACTATACGCCACCAAGCTGGACAACCTGGAGGAAATGGACAAATTCCTAGAGAAGTACAAGCTGCCAAAACTCAATGAGGAAGAGTCAGAAAACCTGAAAAGGCTGATAACCACTGATGAAGTTGAAGTGGTAAGCAAAAAACTCCCATCACACAAAAGCCTTGGCCCCGATGGCTTCACAGGGGTGTTTTGCCAAACATTCAAAGAACTAACACCTATCCTCAAACTATTCCAAAACATCCAAGAGAAAGGAACATTTCCAAGCTCTTTTTACCAGGCCAGCATTAGCCTAATTCTAACCACTGAACCACACTGGCCAGGGCTGTAGACTTTTTAAGAAGATGTTTGTTTTCAGAGTGAGAAGGATTTCCTTTATTTCTGTTTTGCTAACATTTTGTACAATAAGTGAAAGTTGTATTTTGTCAGGTTCTTTTTTTGTATCAGTTGTTACGGTCATATGATATTTCTTTTTCAGCATGTTAATGTGATAGATTTTATTAATTGATGTTTGAATAATGAACCAATGAACCAGTCTTGCATAATTGATAAATCCCACTTGGTTGTGGTGCATGTATTTTATACATTGTTTGATTTGATTTACTATTTTTTGTGAATATTTCTGCATCATATTTATGAGAGATATTGGTCTATAGTTTTCCTTTCTTAAGTCTTTAACTGGGTTTGGTATTTGGGTAATACTGGCCTCACAGAATGAATAAAAAAGTGTCACACATCAGTGCTTGGAGTGTAGTTTGTCTATGATTCCATGGGGTGAAAGTAGTTTGTCTATAATTCCATGGGGTGAACTAATGCTTCTCCTGGATCCTGTCCTAGGTGCTTTTTCTATTGGCTGATTTTAATTTGTATCCTTTCTATATAATAAACCATAACTGTGAATATACCAGCTTTCAGTGAGATCTGTGAGTTCTTCCAGTAAATTATCAAACCTGAGGGTGGTTTTGGGACTCCAATGAACTGGTGATTAGTGTGAAAAGCAAGGGAAGTCTTAGGGACCGTTTTCTTTAACTTTGTAGTGGGCCTAAACTCTACACACCTTTTCCCCTCAGATTTATTGAGGTATAATTGACAAATAAAAATTGTATATATTTAAGTGTACAGCATGGTGTTTTGATATATATATCCATTGTGAAGTGATTGCAACAAACTAACGTATTCATCACCTCACACAGTTACCAAATTTTGTGTGTGTGCTGAGAATGCGTCATTTGTCCTCTTATCAAATTAAAGTGTATAATCTATTACAGTTAACTGGAGTCATCATGCTTTATTTAGTTTCTCAGAACTAATTTATTTTATAAATGAATTTGCATTTTTTTATTGATATTTCCCCCTTTCCCCCACTCTCTGGGCACTGGTAACTACTATTCTACTCTCTGTTACTATTATCCAGTTTCTGAAGAAAGTAGTTCTATATATTGTGCCCATTATTCTAGATGATTAAGAGTTAGTGGGGTTCCAGTTACTCTGTTTTGACCTGAAGTACCTTAGTATTTTAATTGTTTGGAGATGCAAAAATCTGTAAATATTGACAGGATTCATATCCTTTCTTAAAACTCAAAAGCTCTGTAAATATAACTCCTACCAAAGTTTATCTTATGTTATAATGTGTTTGTATTTGTATTCCACTCATTAATAGCAATGTGGACCTTCCAGCTGTTGTGATCCTCAAACTTGTTTGCTGAAAGCAGGATCACAATGTGATTCAGGATTATGCTGCAAAAATTGTAAAGTAAGGTTTAAGTTTGTTAATATCATCCAAGTATATAATGAATCATGTCTAGGATTTATTCTTCCCCCTTTATATTTGTTTTTCCATCACCATTTATCCCCCATATCCCCCTTTCCACTTCCACCCTCTCTTTCTCCCCTACAGTACCCAGCTGTGGTCCATATCTATGAGTTCTTTCTCCCTTTTTGTTCCTTTTTGCTCAATCCCTTTACC